TCGTAGAATAATAGAAACAATGTCCATTGGCAATAGAGCCATCAAATGTGACACCCAGTCTCCTTCCTCTACCTTCGCTTTGCGAGCCTGACGCTCAAACATCGCTAAGTAAAGCGAAATATCCGATGATTCGGGATTATATCTCTGCATTAAATTTTGCAAATCTCTCATAGATCTCGGAATATTATTTTGAGAATTTTCTCTGCCATTATTGGCGTTTGTCAACCTTAGACGTTTTTAATTCAAATTCTCTCTCCTTTTTTTCCCTTTCAAGTTTACGCTCTTCGGCTTCTTCGCGTCTATGTTTGTTCGATTCGCGCTTCGATAATCGACTCTAGTGTTGCCTCGACGAATTTTTCGTCATACTGAGGGCTCTGTACAATGAGGTTTTTAAGATCTTGTATTTTTGCATTTGGGGGAACTTCTAGACCTAATTCTACAGACAGATTTATGAGGTCTTGCTTTCTACCCTTGCCAAGATATGACATTTTTGCCAGTGACAAAATTTTAAAATGATACAATAAAATAAAACTAAAGGTACCAGTTTGTCTACTCTGAAAGTTTCACACTATCCAGAAATACTACAGTAAAACAACATAGCAATGCAATTTATGGTATGTATGACATAAAATACGTACCATTAGCAACATAGGAAAAAAAAAAATTAAAGTAAATTAAGCATTTCTTAAATAATCTGTTGCAGCTTAACACATAACCATACTTAATGCAGTATATAAAAAATTGCTAAATACTTATTGGCAAAAGAATATTAGTCACAAAGAGCAATACTTATTGACTCAATTTACAACTGATGCGTGCTTTCTAAAGGTTGAAAATACTATTATAAAATTCTCTACTCATCAAAAACAAAACATTTACGAGTAACCATTTAAACATATAATTTCGATACACAAAAAAGACAAACTCCATTAAAATGCCTCTTTAAAAAGATAATGCCATATCAACTTACCCATTGCAGACAAAAAAAAAATAACAGCTCTTCTTTCCTTTCTTTTCTATTTGCACACGCGATTCAATGACCGAAGAAGGAAACCAATTGAACAATAGTCGACTGGGCGATTCTTCTTTCACTAAACACCAAAAAGCACTTTCACTGCACAGAGGGTGGTAAACACCAAACGCGAATTCACAACACTTCACTCTTGTCTGGACTTCTTGTGTCTTGTCTTTACACCCGAGGGAGAATTTTACTTCACACTCTTTCCCAGGCACTTCCGGAACTAGTCTTTGTAGTAGTTGATTCTTCACGAACGCTTCTCATCGATGATCCCTTTTCAGCTGCTGGTTAAACTCTCCAATCTTTACTGCGAAAGAATTCTTTTCCACTGCTAGAATCGGCTGATTCTGAATGAAGATAAGAACCGGGACGGTTCTCCAAAACGATCACGTCTTTGTTTGTCTATTGGGTTTTTACGATCCCACCGCTGCCACCAATTAACACATACCTTCTAGCTGTAGCGATTTTAGCTGTAGCAATTTTTATTGGTAGCGTAATTAAAAATAAGGTAAGTGTTAAATTTCACAAATTGAATTTTAAGGTAAGTTCAACTGCTTATCATAACAAAGTAGTTTTGCTTAGCAAAGTAGTCCATTTCCAATAGGAAACGATAATCACTTGAGTTCAAACAGAGTCGAAAAAGGTAGCGGAGAAAAAGTCCGGCTACGCTTCTTTGAGGGTTTCTTTTTCCGCTCTTGACAGAGCTTAGTAGCGACTCGGGACGAGCCGTAAAATACACAAGAGAGAAAGGGGCTCTCTAAAGCTTACTAGCGACTCGGGAAGAGCCGTAAAATACAAGAGAAAGGCTCTCTCTTCTCTACGCAACGACTGCGTATACTTCAGACTAAAAAAACTCTCTAGTTATTTTCACTCACTGTTTTTATGTCCAGGTTTTCTGGGCGTGTCTTGTGCGTCTGCTGCAGTGATTCGCTAAACGTCTTTTTCGGAGCATCTCTCCATTGGTTAACAGGCGATGATTTGTTCTCAGATACTGTCTTGACAGCCTGAGAAAACTGAAATTTTCCGTGGGAAAATTCAGAACGTCTTTTTGGGAGGTCTATCTAAATTATTTCGAGAAACAGGCAGTTGGCGACAGTCTATCGCATACACACAATGGACACTCCACAACCCGTGAGAACTTGTATGAAAGTTTTCTCCTTTCGTAAAAAACAATATGCTTTCCGCACTTTGTTGGGGGGTCACGTTCGACCTCAAGAATTCGTGTCATCAGGGTGGTCATCTGGCGCCCATTTGAAGTCTCCTTTTCCCAGACTTCGTGGGAGCCCGTGGGAAAATAGCTGACGACGTTACAATTAGCCAATGAGGACAAAGCAAGTTGTTATTTGGACGTTCTTTAGTTATTTCGTTCATTTTGTCCTGAGTTGTGTGAGTACATGTGCCTTAGGGAAATAGTTTTAGAAATTATCATCTTTTGTTACATCTGCGGGAAAGGTGAAATACTCATGTACATTTCAAAGATCGTACACAGTTGACATTCTTTCCATTATTTCCTCAAGGAAATGTAATAAATTTGCGATGTGTACCGCCTGTCGTTGCGATTTTTCGATTTTGCATAGTGGAAGGGCGGATGTTTTCAAACATGTGCATACACAAACTCCATCTCTATGGATGGAGCAATAATACCAATTCAAAACTGTATCGAATTGTTGTTTCTTTTTTTGATCCAGAGTCTTCAGAAATTGAGTGCAGTATGTTCCCTCTTTAGAAGGGCATTTGACAGGCTTTAATATAGCACAGCTAATTATTAAAACTTTAAAAGAAAATGCAGGCCCTCTGGATAATTGTTTAGCACTTGGTGCCGATAATGCACCAGTATTGGTAGGCTTGGAAGACTGGTGTTGCAGGCATCTTAAGAAAGGAAAATTCAGATTTTCAGATTATGAGGTGCACCTGTCACCTCTTAAATTTAGCAGCTTCTTTACCAATAAATGTGGATGAACACATTGTTCATATTTGTTATTATCTTGAAAGGAGTTCTAAAAGGAAGGAAAAATTGAAACAGTTCCAACAGCTGCATAACAGCAGTTTACAATTAGAAAACTTGGATGAAGTTATAAAATCAGCTAGGATTGACACCCAGTGGAGTTTAATTGGCAAACTGAAAGGTGCTGATGGAATTTTAAAATATAGTGAACTGTCTAGAATTGTGTTGGCCATCTTGACAGTTTCCCATAGTAATGCAGCGTTTGAGAGGATTCTTAGTGTTGTTGCGAAAACGACGACTAAATTTAGATCTAATATTAGTGATGACACATTAGAAAAACTTTTATTAGCGAAAACAGGCCTACGTGGCAATTGCTGTGAACAAAATTGGCAAGTATGTATACTGTAGAAGTTTCTTTCTTAAAGAAAGCAAAATCTGCCACTGTTTATAACATTTGTACAAAAACTGATTAAAGTGTCTTTTTTTTTTTTTCTTAAACTATGCAAGTAATAAAAATGTTTTTTATGTGTAAGGCATTTTTGTGTTGCTTGCATTTAGGAATTAGTTACTATTTAAAGTTAATTCATTATTAAAAACTATATTTTTATCATTTAAAAAGTCTTTTTAACATTGTGAAAAATCTCCTGATTTCTTAAAAAAAATCTCCTGATTTTTGAGTGTCGTAGGTTGGCAAGTATGTATACTGTAGAAATTTCTATTACATTGTTAGTTTCAGAAATCTTTCATTTAAATCATCTAAATGTAGTATTTGAGGTTCAAGGTCATTGCAAACAGATGCAATAAATTAAAAGTCTCTTGCCTAGTAAGACATTTTAATGGATTAAACACACTTTTAAAAAAAGTCCAATTTCAATAATTGAATAGACGATTAAAAGTTCAGTTCCCTTTACCCGTCATTTGAATGTGAATGACTTTGGGAGTGTCAGTTCCCATCAAGTCAGATGTTTCATCATCGCTAATTACTGCACATCTGCAATATTGGTTTACGTCAGATTCGGAAGATGTCTTTTCCCTTTGAAGTATAATGCCTAGATTGCATTGAGGGTTCATTGGCCTAGAAGCAGTAGACAACAGGTGCAGAGTTGCTGTTCCCATGACTCGGCCTTTTCTGACTCACCCACCCTTCATCTTCATTATGTGGGACATAAAGCAATATTGATATTAAGCATCAATATCATCATCGCTGGTAAAATTGAAAAACACACACACACTCAAAAAAGTATCTGGTTCTTTCACACTTTGTAAAATGCTATTGTAAGTCGCTTGACCATGGCTAGTCCATGTAGTCAGCCACAGTGAGTATCTTATTTGATATGTCATCGTATCCGAGTTTTGCAACATCATGTCAGTAATTAGATTCAACAGTTGTAACTAACAACTAAGTCATTTGTCTTGTCAAAAACTCTGTTTACAGTTTCTTTACTGAAGAAAATTTTGAACAACTGTAGTTTAACAGTTGTAACTCTAACTCTTGAAGGAGGTGGTTGATTAGTTCCATTTTCTGTGTTTCTTTGTTTCTTCTAAAATTCAATTTTTTGCTTTAAGAATTAACAGTCCTTACAAATTGTCTGTAATCTGTATTCTGAGGCTATTTTTGAGGACTATATAATTTCTGTATTCATCTTCAGCTTTTGTGGATATAATTAAATCATTGATGTAAATAATTAAAGAATCACCATTCAGTAATTTTCTAAATACAGAGTAAATATATGTGTGAAGCGCATTTGGAGTCGCAGATCGAAAGGTTCTTTTAGAAATTCGTAGATAGTGTTATGTGTTGCAAGTGCAGCATACCGAGTGCATTTTTCATCAGTATCCATATTTTATCAAAGGGAGTGGAAACATGTCTTGAATAAACTTTTTGTTTAGTTTCCTATAATTAATACATAGTCAATAAGAATTGTCTTTCTTCTGCACAAGACCAAAGGAACAGAATAATTAGAAAAACTATGCTTTATTATTCTTTAATGTAACCATTTATTAATTTACTTATCAATAATTTTTGTTTTGCAAAAGCTATTCTTCTAAGGTTCTAAAGTGCTGACAGGCACATCATCAGATAATATACAGTACAAAGTCCGTAATCCGGACTCATCGGGACTTCGACGATTCCGGTTTAGAGGTTTTTCCAGTTTATAGATCATCAATTGAAAAGTGGTAAGATGGCAAAATTTTATAAAAAAAGAGCTTAATATATATTTGTTTATTTTATTAAAAATTTCTTACAATGTAAGTTATTTAAGTTGCTGCGTTTTTTGTGCTTGTACTTTCTCTTTAATTTTATAAACAGACATAATTTCTTGTTCAGTTACAAAGTTCCACTGTTCGACTCGTGTAGTTGCTGTGTAAAGAATACCGATTAACTTGTCAATCGAAATTTTTTCGTTTTCAATAACCTCTCTGTCACTTTCTATTGGAAGTGCGCATGGGTAAACGCCTTACACACATGCGTAGCAGATGCACGCATTAAACATGCATGCATAAATGCTTTACGCTCATGCGTAACTTTGTGGCTTTGAGGTCCGATTATAGATCATTCCGGATAATGGACATCCGGAATTAATTTAAAATTCAGAGCTTTTTAGTTTTGAATGGCTTGTGTTTATTGTTATGTACAATATTTGAGATGCGAGTTTGACGTTTATCGTATTAGCCATCTGTGCAAAAGCCTGAAGAGATGTGTAATCGCCAGAATTTGTAGTTTTAGTAATGTTTTTAAGTGCAGTGTCTGACTTGACAAGGTGATAATTTGTTATCTTCAGAATTGGTGATATGTTGATAGCGAAATTTACATTCAAAGAATCCATTTTGTAACAAGCATTCAGTTTGAGAAAGATTCCCCCCTTCCTCCATTTTGGTTTGCATATCCTTAATTTAATATAAATTCGAGAATTTGAAAGCCAATCACAATAAAAGATATGCCTAGCTTATTAATTATGTCTCTTCTGAGAAAATATGACTGTATAATGATCTGACAACATAAATTATAGTGTCAGTTGTAAAAACATCTATAAAAATTTGGGAAGTGAGAAAATCAATAAGGGAAGTTTTTTTGCTTTGAACCTATCAATATTTTATTGCTAAGATTTAATTTTGAGAAATCAGGTGTTTTATAATAGTCGAAGGAATAGGTAGTTTTGTCTCAGCCAGTGTCAGGCAAGCTCTCAGTGGAATATTCATTTATTTCTACAGTTTTCATAATTTCATCATTGTTTCTAAATTTCTGAATGAAGGATATTTCCTTTTCGTGTATTTCAGTTTAAGTGCAATTATTGGCTTTATGTCTGAATTTTTTGCATTTGAAGCATTATTTTTGCATTTGACTGATATGTCTCCTAGTTCATTAAAGTTGAAGGATTTCACTTAATTTGGGTTAGAATAACTGTAATTAAATGGCAAAGTTTTGTTTCTTTTAATTTTGAATCTCAACTCTGTTTATCACTATCTGATTATTTTTTTATAGATTTTTAATTTCTGTCTAAATTTAAGTAATCTTTGAAAACCATATAATGCAGTTTTCATAGTAGCAGAATTAGGAATACCATCAAAAAAGTGCTTAATTTATAAGAAATATTCATCTAAAGATTCATTAAACAATAGTTTGTCATTTGACAACATTTCATGTAACTCAGCTAAATTATAGGTTAAACTAAAGTCAGATTTCAAGTTTTTTTAAACTTTCACTAGTCACTGATTTTAGTTTTACTTTCAACGAGTAATTTTGCCTTTCCCTTTAGAACCTTATAGTAAGAAACTGCTTACATAGATCACTCAGTTTTTGTTACGATTACTAATTTTGTCATTACTTCCTTTACTGCTTTCGTCTTCATGAATAATATTTTAACATAATACTTATAAATCATGTAATAAAGAGGCAATTCGGGTAACTATTTATGTTTTTGAGCCTTCCAAATTTATAAACAGTACATTACAGATTTTAATTAACTCATTTGAAGTAAACTCTATTTGAATTTTTTTTTATTGAATTCATCAGAACTTGAGTCTTCTTTACATGCTATTTCTGTCACCGTCTGTCATACAAAATTGCTTTTTGTAGAGTTTGGTTTTTTTGAACTTTTCTCATTTTTGAAAGTGTCTTCCAATTCTGGTATCTTGAATAATTTCATCGTCAAAACAAAGGAATGTTTCGTTTCACCAAACGAGTATAATAACCACTGTGCAATTGAAAAGTCAAAGGTAAGAAAGTTCAGAATTAATCCATAACAGTCCTCACATAAAAACATTTCCATCCCACTTGTGACACCAATTTCTATTAAGATCAATTTCCTTAACTGATACAACAGATTAATACTTTCTTCCATAGTAAAACATTTTAATGGACAAAAACAGACAAATTGCAAAGAGGAACCAGTTTCAGTAATTAAAGAGCAGTTTATAGTTCACATTAACTGTCATTTTAAACGTCACAAACTTTGAGAGTCTGTATTTCTCATCAAGTTGAGAAGTTTCTGTATTGTTGAATACTTCATGTCTGCAGTATCAGTACATGTCATCTCTGGAGGATGCCCTTTTTCCTTGTGGTATAACAACTGTTTCCGTGGGTTGCACAGAGAGTTCTCTGGTCTAGAAGAAGTGCTGAAGAACAAATGTAGTGTAGCCACACCCACACTACTTCATACAAAAAAAATAGGATTATTTTGTGGTTTTTTAGAGCATAAATTTCACTGTAGGTAAAATATAATACTTTAAGAAACATTTCATTTTGTAATGCGTATTATCTGTTTCAGAGTGTGAATGGAACTTATATCCATGAGGTGCGCATAAAGCCGAAGACTCCTACTTTGTTAAAAAATGGTCATCATATATTTTTGGGACCTCCGTCTGAAGTACCTCATGTATTTCGTTACACTGATTCTTATCCATCAGACAGAAATCCCTTTATTCACAGAGTAAGTATTACTGTTTATTTTTCTCCTCAGCATACTATGCTTTGATATTAATTGGCACATTGTGTTAGTATTAACTTTACAATTGATTTTACATTAAATCTGCCTTTATATCAATATATAACTTATCACAATAAGACTACAAGAAAAAGATTGCAGGATGTAATTAAAAGAATGGCTTAGTTCTGATTATTTGCCTCTTACTGAAAAGAATTCACACAGCAGTGAGTAATGTTGCCAAACTAGGCAACCATGACATTGCCAAAATGAATATTTGTGGCAACCTAGGTGTGAGCAAGTGTGTAGCAGACAAATGGGGTTGTAAGTAATCGCAGTGGGACTGTAGAGTGCACTGGCAGATGGAAAAGAGGGCATTTCATCCAACAAAACAAAATGCAAAAATTTGCATTCCATAATGTTGCACTTCAAAAATTGAATTTTATGAATTGAAATTTGCATGCAATGCCAAGTTTGTGTAAGTCTGATGTTTAAGAGAAAACAGATTGCTGTGTATGTATGTGTGTTGGTGGGGCAGGGGTGAGAATAAATGTAAAAAGAATTATGTGGATTTCTTGGAAAAGGTAAATGTTTTATAATAGATGCTTCTTGCTTTTTAAATTTTATTGATTCATTGTTTCTTTATGGAATTCTAAGTGCACTATCAGATAGATGGGTGTTACCTATCACATATTAGTTTAGCAAAAAATTTGGTTAAGAGATTGCTAATTTTTTCTACAGGGGTATAGATACTCAAGGTATGAGAGAACGTGTAATTACTGCAATTTTGTAGGTAGTTTTATTTTAGTGAAACTGTTTTAGTAGAATTTACTAAATTTTTAGAATGTTCTAAATTTTGGCATCCTTGTGTGTAACATTTCTTCAGTACAGACATAACAGCAAAATATCCAGCAGGTATGCCTGTAGTTCTTTAGTTTGAACAAGCAGCATCACTTATTTATTTATTTATTTTTTTGTTATTGTATTCTGATACTTTGTCTTAAGCTTATTTTTTAATCATGCTTGGGATTTGTCTGCAGTGAAAGTAAACATGGTATCTGTAGAAATATTTTGGCTCAAATCTCTAAACAGAGCAATTGTTTTGAATCTTTTCTGAAGGTGATTGCCATAAAATTTTCATTAGAACAGAAAAAACAAAAATTCTCTTGTAAGTAGGTTTATAGATCGATTTCTTGGGATAAATAATAGAATATATGAATATGATATCTTGAATATAAAATAATACAATATGGATATATGTAATAATTTTGTTTAGAAGTTGTCGTCATTTTTTTTTTTTTTTTTTTTTTTTTTTTTTTTTGTATGTGTGTGTGTTTGTGTGCATGTGTAAAAAAAAATCATTATATTGCAACAAGCTGTTACACTAACACATTAAGTACTTGCTTTTATAGTATGCTTGAGGTTCTGTACTTGAGTGTGTATGCATTATGATCAAAGCCCAAAGTTAGTCACTTCGCAAAATGGCTAGCTATTTCTAATATTAGTTATCTAGAGTGACAAAAATAGAAAAATAACAGTGTTTTCTTACTTTGGACTTTGGCTGGTCAGTTCTGTAATAAACAGAGAGAAATTGACACTCACTTTTATATTTTTGAGTATCTCCTATTTATTTATTTTTGCAATACAAAAAAAATTTGATTTTGTACAGACTACTGAATATATCAAAAGCATGTTACTTTTCTATATAATGCAAAAAGTACACCGCCCTCCCAAAAGTTAAAGAACAACATGTTTTTGGTGTCTAATTTGAGAACGAAGCAACATAGAAACAAGAAATTTAGTAGACATGTTCATTAAACAGTTCTTGTGATGTGGAATGCTTCTTGAGATCAACACAAAAATTAATTACAACAAAAAATTTCAGTCTTGGCAGAGAAATCTAGTCTTGGAAAAACAGTATGTCATAGTTTTTTTAATAAAAATATGGGGTTAACGTATATTTACGGGTACCCCTTGGCGAAAATTGGTGATTTTTGGTGGTACATGGATACCGAGTTTGTGCAATTCCTTGACTTGTTATTTCGTCTTTGTGCAGCGGCGATTTTAGCGCCAAAAATCACCGCTACACAAAGATAAAATAACAAGTTATAGAATTACACAAACTCGGTATCCTCTAATGCTCTTTTCCCCCTTTCATTCCAAATCGTACAGACACTTGAAATTAATCTTACTATATTCAGCCATTCTACCGTCTAAACATCAAAATAAGCAATGTACTTCCTAACCAACACACACCGCAAGCCCTTACAAAACATCCCATAATTCAAAGTTTACTGCAATCATGTAACCGATTATGTCATAATAGGGTTTCCATAACATTCAACTACTCAGGTTACCATAAATGAAACAACTTGGCGATAAACGAAATAATAACTTGGCAATAAATGAAACAACAACTTTGCGATAATACAAGGGGCGTCCTTTAGTCTACTCTAACCAAATGTGGTGGTAGCATTTCAAAAATGGATTCGAATAAGGAATGCTTTCACCCCTAGCTGCAGTACATTGGTGGCAGTGATGTTCCATGCTGTCAGTTAAATTGTCGGTAAGTGAAATGGGAAGCAACGACCAGATATGGAGTAATCCTTATTCAAACTCATCTAGTACCCTGAAGGAGGATAAAGAAGGCAGCTAATACCTTGAAGGCAGCAACCTGTCTCCCAAGGTAGTCCCAAAGATGCTGTATTGGATTCAGCTCTGGGGATTGAGCTGGCCATTCCACCCGCTCCATTCCATGACCCTCAAGATATTCTACATCAACCCGAGCTCGATGCAGTCACATATTGTTGTCTATTAGAAGAAATCCAGGACCAATAGCAGCGCATATGGGCGGATCAAGGATCTTGTCTAGATATCTCACACTGGTCAAAGTTCCTTCATGGAACATATGCAGGTCAGTATGACCACCGAGAGGGATTCTAGCTCAAACCATTATTCCACCACCTCTGTAAACTGTGTCATTTCACAATGTGGGATTGGTTGCTATCTGGTGCATTGTTCCTTCCAAATCTGCTGACTACTGAATTATTCTCCCTTGTGAACCTGGCCGCTTCTGTGAACAGAACAGAAGCCCATTGTTGAGCAGTCCAGGGGACGTGTTCTCCTGCCCAACATAAATGGGCAGCTCTGTGACCTCAGAGCAAGGAGACGCAAACAACTGGTCGTCTAACATACAAGCCTATAATGTGCAGGCCTCTGCACACTATAGTAGCTAAGATTCTTGTTCTTGTGACCACTAAATGATCTGCCATGAGCCCAGGCACAGTAATCTCATCCCTCCTTCAGAACAAGAAAGCTAAATAACGGTCTCCTGTAGGTGTTGTAACTCTTGGTCTATCTGGAACATGTCTTCTAGACACAGAATCCTCAGAATCAAACTGATTCTATAGTCGCTGGACAACGCTGCTAGAGACATTGAGTCATCTAGAAGCATCAATTTGTGGCATCCCCATTTCCACCCATCTGATCGCCCGCTACCTCAACAAATAGGGCAAATGACTTCTCCTGGACATTGATAGACTCTCCTTGATATTGTCAATGATATTGCTAATAACAAATTAAATATCAACACTCATGAAAACTTATAATTTTTGCATTTCTTTTCCAACTTTTATATAAGTATTCATTTCTATAAAATAAAAGGGAACTACTCTTATATGCGCCCTCAGGTCGCCAAATTTCTCGCCAAACATTTTTGGCGAGAAACTCCATGCTGCCATATTACTATCTAAATTTTTTGTCTACATTTTGAACCCAAAATGTCTCCAAAAACGCGGTTTTCGCACATGCAAAAAAACACGTTTTAAACACACAATTTAAGCTAAAAATCTGAAACAAAAACCAAAAATTTAGATAGCAAAAACGTAAAGTTTCTAACCAAAAATATTTGACAAGAATCCATGTACACAGCGATATATTTTAACTTAAAAAAAAAAAAAATCTACAAATTGCACAATCTAGGCTACAAACTACGCACACCTCGCTTTAATAAATTAACATAACAACAATAAATTTCAAAGAATACCATTTACACAGCATCCTGTTTAAACTGAAAAAAACATCTACAAATTGCACAATCTAGGCATTGCGCACAAATCCACCAAATAAATTAACTAAATTACAAACAATTCAAAAAACAATAATAAAAATTCATAGTAAAAAAGCAATGAAGATAACATTCTACAAAATAAAATGCACTTGCCATAATACATTCCTGAATAAAATTTTGCCAGTCACACAACGTCTCTGAACAAAAGTGCTACGATGTCATGATGATCGATACCACATGTCTTTCTGAGATTCAAAATTTTCGAAAGTAACGATAAAAACTTCCTCCAAAGTTAACTTACTACACCAAAACCACAATCCAAATCTTAAACTCCGCTGAACCATTTGACTGCAATTCCACATAGGAACTATCAGAAACACCCTTCTTCGTCCGAGTTCTCATAGCTTCGCATTTCACACTCCGTTTTAAAAGTTATACAGAAATTCCCAAAATACACTTCAATCCTCATAAACACACCCATGAACAAAAGACTCTTTAACAACTCCAACATCGTACCTTTTAATACTAAATTCACTTTCTACACTAAAATACGCGACTGAAATCTTCCCACCACTTCTATCATTGCAACATAGGCCATTTCAAAACACGCATGACACGAACCAACAAGCAATTAAACCACTCCAGGGAAAGATTTTTCGACGTCAATGAGGTTGCCATACATTACACAATCAGGCCAAAAACCAGCGCAGAACACAAATTGCCACATTTGGTGAAATTAGGGCGCATATAAGTGTAGAGCCAATAAAAGTGCTAGCTATTATTTTTGCCTATTTTTTCTTAAACTTTGTTAGTATAATGCATATAAATTGTGAATTTAAATGTTGCTGATATTTTTGTAATGATGAGCTTTGAAAAATATGCTGTTTTTTTAACTTTTGGGGGGCAACGTATTTCAAGTTATATTAAAAGGTAATCAATTTCTCTGAGGAAAAGTACTGAAGAGGAGTGTGATTCTGAAATTTTATTATGATAATGCATCTTATAGAATTATGTTTCTTTATGACTAAGTTTTCTAACAATGACTTAAATATTCTTATTCCTGGAACAGGCATTTCTGTTTTTTACTATATTCTGTCAAGCATCAGAATGGTGCTAAATAAAAGTAATAATATGCTTAATAATAGCATATATTACATACTATTATGAATTGTTACATATTTAAAATTTTTCTATAGTATTTCAGTTAATATCAGTTTGCACATAAATTAACATAAAGCACAAAAGTAAAGAAAAATAAGTGTATCACTTAATAACATACAACTTTATAAAATAATCATATATTTTTAAGAGTTAAATCTTTTTAATGTTATATTTTTAATGCGTGTTATTTCATACTGTATTTCCAAACCGATTTTTTAATATGTGCATTTTTCTTTATCTTGTAGGGCAGAACCAAATTTATGCGAAACAGCACTTTGTCTGGAAATGAAAATTCATCTGTTAAGCTAGGTTACACAGATGATGAACCTAAGAAATGTGAAATAATTGTAAGCAAAAGTCTGCAGTGCTCAGAAAGAAAAAATGCCATTCCAGAAATGCCTGAATGTTCTTCAAATAGAATTAATCTTAATTTTAATGACAATAATCAAGACTGTAAAATTAATGATGATCCAAATGAAAATGGTGAAGGTTCTCTTAGTGACAGTTGCTCATCAGATTCGTCTATGGCAAGTTTAGAGAGTCTTCAGACAAGGATACGGCGAAAAATTGCTTCTAAACAAAAAAGTAAACAATTAGGTGATGGAGAAGGGCCTTCTTCTAGTGTTCCAAGGAAAAGAAAGAAAAAAAATGACAAAGATCTTGAACCAGGGAATTTAATTAGTTTAAATGTAAATATTCCAGCAACTTCAGGGACTGAAAAACCATTACAAGATGGTCAAAAAGATGAAAATGAGTCGGTGGAAGAACATAAGAATCATACTCGTGCAAAGGCTAAAATTTTAACTGATTCAGAGGTTAGTTTAAATAACTGTATTAAGGAAATACTTCTTCTGTTTTCATTGCATGAAATGAAGTGTTTGTGTACAATGTTGTAATTTTTCTGTATTTTAGAAATTTGTGTACTTGGGTAATATGTTCTATGCTTTTTAATCAACCTGCATTTGCATATTAGAAATGCATAGTGACAAGTGCATTCTTCAGAAACGTGTTTTTAATATTCATAGCGTAAAAGAATCTGTTTTACTGTTTAGGTGCCTGTCTTACTTTCTAAGCAGGCATTAAAAAAAAAAAAAAAAAAAAAAAAAAAAAAAAAAAAAAAAAAAAAAAGATTTCTAGCTGTTAAGAACTTAATGTCTTTATAATTGATTGAATGTTATACTTGTTATTTATTATAAACTTTATATTAACCTATAATCATTCTCAGATGAAAGAGGATTATGCTTATGTAAAATTTTAAATTACGCAAAAAAGCAATCTTATTTTGGCATAAATTTGAATACAATTCTTTGAGCTTTGAAACTTTGGCAAATAGATGCATTATTTATTTATTTAATTTTTTGCTCCTAAAACAAGTAAAAAAGAGTCTTTCATTGTCTTGAAATTGAGATAATTTTATTCAAAATTTATGTCAATATAAGGTTTTTCTTTTGCCTAATTTTAAATATACTCATTCTGTTTTCACTATAGTAATTATATATAAACTCATGAATTGGAATTCTAACAATTCTAACAAAGTTATTAATACCATTAATACCTGAATTTTTAGAATAAAAAAAATGTTTGTAATGAAACAGATTGTCTTCAAGTAGATATACGAAACCTTATTAATATCCTCATAGAAAATCAAATTCCCAAACTCGCAATTTTACACACCTTAAAAAAAAAAAAAAAAAAAAAGCTGGCATTAACTTTATCTTTTAGATTACTTTTTACAGTAAAATCTCATTTTTTACTCAAACTTGAAAAAGGAGGTAACTAATGGATGACTTTTACATGTAATTTAATGTGAATATGTAATTGAAAATCTTATAAATAAAAATAAAACTTATCTTTTGGCATAAATTTTCAAAATTCATACAAAACATTAATTTTTTTAATAATTAAGCCAGCTTTTGTATTAGGTTTTATATAATTTGACTGAACAATTTATTTTTCAACTTTGAATAAAAAATCGATTTATTAATTCTTGAATTAGAATATTCTTTTTGATTGAATTTAGTTTGAGTAATTAGTTTGTTTTTTTTTAGCCTTTTTTACTTTTTTATATTTTTTACTATTTTTTAGCATTTGTATATAACTATTGGTCTAATTTGAGTGCAAATAGTTGTAGGGAAGAGATCTGAACATCTGAGAACTCTTAGAATTTTGTTTTAAAGTAAAAGTCTTATACTTAAATCGGTTTTGAGTTTCAAATGATTCGGAGGAGCGAATCGTGTTCAGAATTCATTAATCAACTTGGTTTAAGGCTTCAAAACATTTTTCCCTTGACAAGTTCTGTTTGAAGTGTTAAACAGAGGAGATTAATAAAAAATTATTTTGTTATGTATCTGTGATTTTAAAAAAGGTGTCTCTTTTCACAATGCAATTTTCATGGTAATGCCCATCAAATCATTTTTTTGTAGGCAAGATATTTTTCGATTATAGTTAAATACAATAATTTTTATGTACATAGGCTTCAGGTAAAGAACAAAGGAGGACAGTTGAGCATAGCAATGCAGAGGTTTTGCAGGGCAGAGAAGTTAAGAAAAAGAATGACGTAATTGCTCGGGAAGCAATATTTGTACTAGGCAGGTGCATATATACTGCTAAGCTGCATATGGTTAAATTTAGGTTTTAGTTCTCTTTGCAAGCAGTGTTATGTAAGCGGTCATATAATTTTGGAAAGATCTCAAATTTGGGAGAAAAGATGAATTTAAGGGGAGAACATCAAATTTAGAATAGTGAATTTTGAGGTTGCCTATTATTTCTTAGCATAGCCATCATATTTTATTATATCTTATATATATGTTTTTTTACTTACATATAAGCAGTGTATCATAATTTTGAAATTTTAAGAAAAAGGGTATTCAAGTAATTCCTATATTGAAAATGAGTTTAGTATTCTTTTATTCAGTTGAAGACTTACCAGTTTTTATTATGGCTTATTCATTATAATGAGTAATACTAATTGAATTATGGATGGCAGTTTGTTAGGGTTATTTGCTTTCTGTCAGCAATCGTTACTAATTCTAAAAAGTACACCATAGATACTCTCATTAATATATATATATATATATTACTTAAGTACTTTATAAAGTAGTGTATCATAATATAGAAATTTTACAGAAAAGGGACATTCTAGTGAGTAATTGCTATATTGAAAATGAGTTTAGTATTCTTTTATTCAGTTGAAGACTTACCAGTTTTTATTATGGCTTGTTCATTATAATGAAGATATTTTGATGCTATTGTATTTGTAATATTTGCTTTACTTTGCAATAAAAATTATGTTGTCTCATCAGCAAAAATGTATTGATACTTTGTACATTATGCTAATGCTTGATACTTGTAATAATATGATACTTTGTACATTATACTTTCTCTGAGACTATTAACATATATACATGAGGCTAATTGAAGAGGTTGACATATAAAATTGTAGCTACACCTACTTTTATTTCTAAGCCTTACATACTAGTAAAGGTGCACTGTATTGTTCAGAACATTTGTAATAGACAAATCTAAAATGTTTAAAAGTTCAAGCTTGATGCAAAGACAATTTCTTTAAACAGGTAGATGATGAAATTCTACTGTTTATTACACTAAATCCCAAATAGCTTGTATTTTTTTATTTATTAATAATTTTTATATTTGTTTAAAAATTTTGAATTAGTGTTCTTTTTTGGTATATTATCAAATGCAGCTTACTTGGACAGTCCAAATTATTTGATTTGTAAATATGCTGCATTAGAACTGTCATAATGATAAAATTAGCAAAGCAACAACCTTATGTTTGGTCTTGATTTTAATCAAGATTATAGATTGTAAGGGCAAACAATTCAGGTCCTTCTTTATCAAGAACAAAGAAATCTGCTACTAAAATATATGTCAACCACAAGCTTGTTGATTTACTAATTTTATGTTTTACTGTGGTGGGTTTCTCTTCTATCTTGTCATAATGATCTCTATGGACATTTCTTCATGTCTACATTTACTTTAATGTGCTTTTAATTTTAATTATGTCTATTATTTGTTCTTTTAGAGGCAAGGACTTGAATCTGAAGATTCTCAGAGTCTTCTGACCGAAAGTTGTATTACATTTGACTTTGATTCACATCCATTTTCACAAGAAATTCCACAACAGCATGAAATTCCTGAAACAAAAGCAGTTATTTCAGCATCGGATGGAATGCATTCAGAAAACCAAAAATGGAATCTGGAAGCTTATGAAAAGATGATTGTTTTTTTGCAATCTAAACTTAATGAATGTGAAAAAAATAATTTAGCCTTGGAAAAATCACTTAAAGAAGCAAATGTGACATTTATAACTGAGGTAATGAATGATTTAAAATTTTTTAAAAATAAGTACTTATTTTAGGTTTTAGAAATTTGGAAACTTTTTTTATTTCTTACCTTTGTTTCGGAAATTTTTTACCTTTGTAAAACAATTAGAGATATGTATAGACTTTCAATAGAACAGTATAAGGCAACTCGTATTGTTGAAAAACATAGAGATTTATTATAATACAGTCACTTTAACTATTTTATATATTCAAGTTAAGAATATTCGTGCGTACATAGGGGTATGTTAAGGATTAATTACATACAGAACTGATGATAGCGTGATATAATTTCCTTTTCCAAAAGAAACACTTTATAGTTCTTAAAATTTCCATAAAAATACCCATACAGCTCTTCACAGTATCACAAAGTACAGTTAGTAGTTATCACATCAAACTATTAAGAACGTTAAACACAATGTAATGCAAAGTACATCTAAAGAGCGAAGCTCGCCTGGAGATCTCTTAGTACTCTGAAGTCTACTTGGAACTGAAAAACTGAGAGCTGATGCTCTCTCAGGTCTTATTGTTTTACCCTGGCCGATTTAAATTTTCCATTACTTTCAGTTTTTCAAAATAACTGAAAGGCTTATCTGGTTAAAGTTACATATATGGGCCAGATGTACTTTGCATTACATTGTGTTTAACATTCTTAATAGTTTGAAGTGATAACTACTAACTGTACTCTGTGATACTGTGAAGAGCTGTATGAGTATTTTTATGGAAATTTTAAGAACTATAAAGTTTTCTTTTGGAAAAGTAAACAGTAAGGTTACAGTTTCATATAAGGATCAATTACTATACCAATTACAGTTATACAGGTACTGGATCAAAATGTTGCCTAGTTTGGTGGTTTCTCACCAAATTTAACAATTAAAAATTAATTACTAAAACCATTGCTAGCTTGGTGATAGCTCACTAATTTAGCAAGATAGCCATTTACTTCAATGTTAAATAGACTTGTTCCTATAATATTTTTTTTTAAGCTTCGTCTCTTGAGGCATTTCACGTTACATTAGTACATACATTTCATAAGGCATTTCGTGTTTTATAGAAATGCATATGTTACATTATACAAAAGACACTAGAATTTTACATATAATTTGACTAAAATTATTTACATATGTACAAAATTCATAGCAATATATTTATTATTAGTTAGCTATTTCTAAAATATTAATGCATTTGTTATATAATGTAGCTTTAATAAAAATTGAAAAAAAAAAGTAATTTAAATATACAGTTTGCAGTAGAATTGTCCATAAGAAAATATTGTGCATGTACTCATTTTTTTTTTTTTAAATAAAAACCAAAGTAAATCAAGTTAAACCCTTTATTTATAGTTAAAAAAGTCATGGCAACTATTTTTTTTTTTACGTATGTGAACGGATCACAAAACGTATATGTGCCATGTAGAAGTTCTGCACGCATAGTGTGTATGCAGAACAATAGATGGCTCTGTGGTAGTGAGGGCTCTGAAATCAATCAGTTGGTGAGTGTTGTGCGAGGTGGAAGTAACCCGTGTTGAGCAGCGCGCTTACATCAAAATAGCCGTTCTCCGAGGGAGACATGCGGTGAAATGTCACAGTGAATTAGTAGAAGTCCTTGGGAATAATGCCCTACCATATCATACAGAAGTATGGTGGGTAGGAAACTTTCAGCAAGGACGTGTGTCAACCAGTGATGAGCAACGTTCAGGACGACCGGTGAGTGTGTGGACCGACTTGGCACATGCCGTCATCGAGCACCTCATGGATGAAGACAGACGATGGACGTTACTAGAGATAGAGAGGGCAAGTGGCATCGAGAAACGCACCGTCGACAGAATATTGCGTAATGAGCTACAGCTACGCAAAATCGCTTCTCAGTGGGTACCACATGCACTGACGGAAGTTCAAGGGTGGATGTGCTATGCAATATGCTCTGACCACTTTGTACGCTGGCAACAGGATGGCGATCAATTCTTGTCATGAATAATCGCCATCGATGAATTTTGGGCCAGGGCATATGAACCAGAACTGAAAGTCAGTCTGCGGAGCGGCGACATCCCAGATCACCGAGGCAGCAGAAGGTCCGTCAGAATCCTTCCCCAGTCAAATTGATGATGACAGGGGTGTCACTGTTTGCCACTTTGTTCCTCACGGCAGAACAGTGACCACACAGTACTACAGGGACTTCCTGGTGCGACAGGTACGACATAATGTTCAAGATAAACATCCGGATCTTGTGGACAGTGCAATAATTCTGCATGAAAATGCAATACCACATAAAGCAGTGTACGGTAGCTACTCCGACGTTGGGGATGGGAAGAATTGGAGGACCCACTGTACTCTCCTGACCTTTCGCCCTGTGACTGTGATCTCATTTCCAAAATTAAGGAACCAATACGTGGTAGGTGGTTTGCAACACGAGAGGACATTGCTAATGCTCTGTGCCAACAGATGACCCGCTTCACACATGGTGTGGCAAATGCTGAGGCTGATGGTATTCAGCGCTTCCCACATTGTTGGCAGCATGTGGTGACAGTAACAGGGGACTACATTGAGGGTCTTTTGGCCCAGGTTTGTCATGTCACTGTGTATTGTGTTATTATTCTTTTGCACGGTGAAGGCCATATTGCCCTGTATACTACCGTAATAAATTCGTGTGTTACGATATTTCAGTGCTATTCATTGTCCACACATGTAGTTAAGACCTTGTCCTTTCTTCTGTATATGTCACATTTTCCAACTGGACTGGTATCTTCAAGAAAAAAAAATAGTTTCTATGACTTTTGTCCCAACCTACGTATATCTATCTATCTATCTCTCTCTCTATATATATTTAAGTAAGTAGTAATATTCTGATGATTTATATAGACATTTGGCCATTAGTAACTATATTTCATTTATATTGAGATTTGGTAGTATATCCCCATTCTGCTAAAGATTAATGCTTAGTCATATCCTGAATTTGCTCCAGTCAGTGGTATACAAGGGGCAGTACAGAAGCTTCCGGAATTTCATTGTAACTCTGTCGACACAAATAATTAATTTAGTTTTTTACTACCACTATATTTATGTACTACTGGAATTCATAACAGGCAGGGGGATGGCAGTGTAGCTAAAGGTAGAAGTGTGTGGTGATCAGTTGACATGATGTCGAAGTTCAAGCAAAAGGCAAGCATCAAGTTCATGTGCAAATTGGTGATGGTTTTTTTAAAGAAAACAGTTCTTTAGTAGTTTTAAGATCTCGGGGTAAAGAAGAATCGCTGGAAAATGAAAGATGTAGTGGGAGACCTTCAAACTTCAAAAACGAAGGAATGGTCAAGCAAGTGAAATAGTTAATCAGATCAGACTGAAGAATAATCATTGATAGTTGCCACAAGAAGTAGGGATCCCTCAGGGATCCATCAATGCAATCCTCTAAGATGATTTGAAGATGAAACATGTGAATGCAAAGTTTGTACCACAGCTGCTGAACCTGGATGAAATAGAAACGGCAATTGACTGCAGCATTTTGGAAAAAGCATAAAGGACCCAATGTTTCTCGAGACAGTTGTTACTTGTGACAAGACCCAGGTTATGCTTACAACCTGAAGACAAAGATGCAATCATCAGAATGACATGCAATGTCCTCTCCTCGATCAAAGTAATCATGTTATGTCAAATCCAAAACAAAAGTGATACTCATTGTGTTTTTTGACAATGAAGATATGGTGCTCCATGAATTTGTACCAGCTGGACAAACTGTTAATGGCCCTTTTTACACACAAATTTTGAAAAGACTGAGCGAGGGAATCTGAGGAAAATGGCTAGATGGATGTTTACTGTATCACAACAATGCTCTCTCCCATACATCGATTATTGTGCAGACATGGCTCACAGAAAAGAACATTCCACTCCTCCACCAGCCTCCCTATTCACATAATTTAGCATCATTGGATTTCTGGCTCTTCCCCAAGATCAAAATTGGTCATAAAGGTAACCATTTTGACACCACAGGATACATCAAAACCAACACGAGAGTTGAACTTCGGAAGATACCATAACAGGACTTTCATCATTGTTTCCAGCAATAGCAAAAGTGACGGAGCAAGTGTGTGTGTGTTCTGAAGGAGCCTACTTTCAACGTGATTAAGTAAATGTTTACCCAGATTGTACTAACAAAGAGTTACAACAAATTCTGGGAACTTTTTGACTGTCCATTGTATTATGCATAATAAATTTGGAGCTGTGGATATTATACATTTAATTAATAAAAGCTGTTTTTAAAAATGTTAAGCTTTAAATCAATATTAATATGTTATTGAAGAAATGCCTTTTAAAAGCAAAAATTGTAATTGAAATAGAAGCCAAATACTTCTACCACAGAAATAATTTATTATAAATTATTGCCCATAGCTTAAATGTGTCATTTTGTTATCATATGATCTCCGAGATAAAACAGTGTGTATTAAATGAGAATTAAACATTATGTACAAAACATCAGAAGTATTTACATTTACATTATTTTGCTTCGGATAATAATAGTGGCCAAATGGAAAACAGCAATATCGTAATGCTTGTATATTTTTATCATTTAAACTTCATTATATACATTGTATTGCACTAATGTTACCTCTGGAATTTATCTTGTGTATGTCATCAGTACATGTCATGTCCGAGCTTTGAGTTTGCTGTAGTAGATACATTTGGCAGCTTTTGTTGACAAATGCACAATGTTAGCAGTGTGAGGCTTAGTGGCATGATTTTTGGGGCTGTCCTGTGAGATTTAGAAATTTTAGAAAGTGCATGCTACAGTAAATGTTGTAATGAATTTGGGATATAAGGGAGTAGTAGATATTTAGTCCTTTCCTGAGAAGCCAACAATTTTCCCCGCAGGTTTGTAAACTGTAATTTCTGACTTTCATGTGGCTTCAAAAAATATTGTCAGCTTTCACATAGTCCATTGTGAACTACCTGTATCTTAGATTTCTTGAGCAACCTGCAGTAACAGAGGGCTATGGATATGCATATGGAGTAGTATACACATCTGCCCTTTTTCAGTTAAACACTACAAAGTCTGTAATCTGGACATCCATTATCCGGAATGATGTATAATCCGGACCTCAAAGCCACAAACTTTTTTTTTTTTTGTATGCTTTACGCATGTGTGTAATACGTTTATGCATGTGCGTTAATGCTCGTTGGGAGGACGTGTCTCCAGATACATTAAAAAATGCTTGGCATAATTTATGGCCAGCTACTATATTTCATGGTGAGGACGATGAAGATGAAGCCGTGAATTTGAAGGTTTTTGGACATCGCAAAATAAAGGTGAAATTTTCCAGTTGTTGGATTTTGTAAAGAAATGTGGAGAAACGGTAATAATGAAGATGATATGTGTATTAAATGAAGTTTTTCATTGCAACAACAATACCCTAATCATCAACCAATTAACAGAGGGCAAAATCTGTAGTATTATTCTAAATCCGGAAAATACCGCTTCCGATAGTGAAGAAAGTGACAGAGAGGTTATTAAAAACGAAAAATTTTGATTGACAAGTTAGTCGGTATTCTCGACACAGCAATTACAGGACTTGAACAGTGGAACTTTGTAACTGAACAAGAAATTATGTCTGTTTATAGAATTAAAGAAAAAGTATTAGCACAAAAAACAGAGAAACTTAAACAACTTTACATGCAAGGAAAAGTTTAATAAAGTAAACAAATAAATATTAAGTTTTTTTTTTTTGGTAAATTTTGATACCTTTTAGATCATAATTGCTCTTTATTTCATAAATTATGGTTTTATATTTTTAATTGTATAATTTCTGCATGCTATCTTACCAGATTTAAATTGATGATCTGTAATCCAGAAAAACCCTTAATCCGGAATCGCCGAAGTCCCGACGAGTCCAGTTTATGGACTTTGTACTGTAGTATATAATTCATCAACAGTGATCACTGTCACATTTGAAAAACATTTTCTGGCGTGGTGATTCACACTGCATATTGCTGGTAAATGTGTGATTGTTTAAGGTATGTTACTATTGGAATATAATTTTTTCACTATGGAATTTGACAGAACAGTATTTCTCATGTTTCTCTTTTTCTTAATCTGAAGTTTGGTCCGCTAATTTTAATGCTTGGAACCTCGAGTATTGATAGCTGTAAAGCAATATAGGACAGTTGTTTCTTGCAATATACGGCAGTTGTTTCTTTCTTATTGTGGCAACATTTGGAACTGGTTTTTCTCTGTTCCATTCATGAAGCGAAATATTGTTTAAGGAAATGATTTAATGAATTATTGATTAAGGAAATGAGAATGAATGAACTAATTTAGAAAGCTCCGAGTTGCAGTGTCAAGCCATTTAAACTTTTTTTAGAATAAGTTAGAATGCCAATTTTGAACTGAAAATCACCCAAAGATCAGATTAGAGCTGTTACAATTTTGCAGAAGAAATGGCACAGAATATAATGCAGATATTTAAAGAAACAGGAGAAAGTCTGAAAATTAAGAGTCTATGATTGTGGCTGAATAGCAGACTAATATTGTATTGATATGGCATCATTTGAGCTACAGATCAGTACATCTGCAGATGTCCAATCATTATTGATAATAGAGTGTATATTATGGCTTTAAAAATATTCTAATTTTTAAACTACAGTACACAGTCCAAGATCCAGATATCCAAAATCCGGACCCCAAAAACATCCAATAACTTTTTTTTTTTTTTTAAATAAATGCTTTATGCATGCACGTTTGATTTTCTTTTTTTTCATCGTAGGTAAAACATGTGGAGAGTCCTGATTCTTAATTTCCCTTCAGCACTAAATAAGTACCTCTTTATTGAAGAAACAATAATTTAGCATAAATTTGTGTGAGCAATAATTTTACTCCTTTGCTGCAATCTCAAGCTGAAACATCATTGATTTTACTCCTATTAATACTTTATATCCCTGACGCTAACCTGGCGAATCATTAGTTGTTATATTTTGCTTTCATCACCGCATATTTATCAACACATGACAACTTGAGCAATGACTCATGCAGCGATGCTCAAACAATATTTTAAAAATATCAGTACAAATAGTATGGTAACCTTTTATGTTGACATTCTTACGCTTGACAATGATTACAGATTTAAGTTGAATGCGCTAAGAAATGTTAACAAGGAAAAATTTAACAAAAGTTTCTTTCCCATATGCTAAAAATAGATTTTGTTGATAATATTCATAGGCCAAAAGATTACATTTAGTGCTAAAGAATAACTGATTTGTTATTTATAACTTAAACCCAAAACTGGCGCCAGCTCGTATGGCTGCACCAGGTGCAGAATTTACCAAAGACAAGATTTTTGGCATTGAGAGAAGCACCGAGCAATAAAATTAAAGGATGAAAATATTTTTAGAATTTTAAGAAGAAAGGCTTTGTGATCCAAAATTTAGCAGCCGCAACAATTTAGAACTTGGGCACTTGTTAGCAGAATTTAATAATCGTAGAGACTGCATCAGGCGGCAAGATATTTAGCACCGGCCCTCAAAATGTTAGAATTTAGATAAAGATTCAGATAAACCTTAAGCATGTGCAAGAAATAGACGTAAGTACAATAAATAACTTATCAGGCTTAATTGTCTCAATGTGCGATAGAAGCAAGACAAAATTGAACAGTACAACTTGTCTTACTTCTGCAATCTCTTGACACATAGCCAATAATGTATAGCGGAAGCTATTAAGCTAGGCTAAAATTATACTTTACTGATTCCAAAGAATTTCAGCTAATATAGCAAATTGCACTGTTCCTTAACTTTTTGATGCAGGCTGCTTTTATTACAGCAATTTGATGAAAATTAAAGCTTCAGCTATCGATCATGTCAAAAAGAGTTTCTAATTCTGCAGCTGTAACAGGATTTACAAAGTGAAAACATGTTTTGATGTCCCATTTATACAAAATGTGGAATTGCTGCAAAAAATGGATGAAGGTATATCTGTCTCAAAATTATGCGAGATGTATGGCATTGGAAAGTTAACTGCATATGACATAAGATAACAGAAAAAGGAACTTTCTGAATTTTTTCTGGATTCCGACACCCTGCTTGCAACGAATAATAGAAAAATTATTCATTATGCTAAAAGTGAAGAATGACTGAGGGATAATTGAATGGGTCAGACAGCATCGTAGTGAGGGCGTGCCATTGACAGGTTAAATGCTAATGGAGCAAGCTAAAACATTTCTCTAAGAAATAAACTTAAAAAACTGACTGCACATACAGGTTGGTTAACCAAATTAAAAAATCGACATGGTATGAGGCAATTAAGAATTTCAGCTAAAAAAGCTTCAGCTGATACTGAAGCTGCTGAACTATTTGCAGATGAATTCATTGAACTCATTAATAGTTAAAAGATTTCTCCAGAACAAATTTGATGAAACTGGTCTTTTCTGGCAATATGTACCACACTCTACAGAAAAGGCTCCAACTCGTGTCAAAGATTCCAAAGTGAGACTAGCAATTTTAGCATGCGTAAATGCGGAAGGAATGCAGAAGTGTAAACTTCTTATAATCAATAAAAAGGCATGACTTCAAGCATTCAAAGGAGAAAAAAGTTTCCCTTTATATATCATGCAAATAAAAGGACACCAATGACACAAGTGTTGATGAATGATTGGTTTAAAAATCATTTCATATCCGAGGCTCAGCAGAATTCGGTTGGTTTACCTGAGGATGCAAAATTTGTCCTGATTGTAGACAACTGTTCAGCTCATACTTCACTTAACGTTTTAGTGAAAGACAATGTATCCATGTTATTCTTTCCTCCAAATTGTGCGTCCATCATTCAGCCTATGGATATTGGAATAGTAGGTGTGCTGAAATGCAAATATAAAGTAGAATTTTTATATCGCAAACCAAAGGTTAAATTTTCCAATTAATGGAATTTTTAAAGAAATGTGGAGAAGCAGTAATAAATGAAGATGATATAACAAAAGTTTTTCATTGCAATGACCCCAATTATCAATCTGTTTAGATGATAAATGCTTCATTACATTACATTCATGCTACATTACATTCATTCAATCACTTTAGATGATAAATGCTTCATTATTTCTTAAATCATGATTTCATATTTTTAATTTCATAGTTTCTACATGCCATTTTAGAAGCATTAAACTGATAATCTAATACCCGGCAATTCCAGATTTGGGATTTTTCTGAAGTCCCAATGAGTCCGGATCTCGGACTTTGTACAAATTTAACAACTCAGCTCAGCAGCTCCACCCCATTTTGTTTAAATTAATATGCTATAAATTTTTATTTGAATAAATATATAATTCATGTAAGATGAAAAATTTAGTAGTTATTATAGTTAGTAATAGCATTATTTGTTTCCTCTAATGAACAGGAAGTTAAGCAAAACCTAAATCAAGAATTCAGAAAAAAATTAGAAGACTTGCATTGCACTATATGTACTGAATTATGCATAAAGGTAATACACTTGTTTTAAGAAATCGTTTTGCATTTATATTCAGAATTTATGCTTTCGAAATGTTTATCTTAAAGTTATCTCATCTTTTATTTTTTTTGACATTTTAACAGAAGTTGTTTTAGTATATGTGTTATCATGTTTTGTTAACATTTACTTGTTTCAAAATAAATTTATGTAAGTATCAAACCAGAAAAATTAATTAGAAAAATCTGTTGTTAAATATTTATGTGTAAATGCCCACTTGTTTGATTTTTCACTGAATGTATTTTCTGTATTTAACAGTTTTTAATAACGAAAATTTATGGTTCATTTTATTGCAAACTCTTAACTAAGGACTTTTGACTATGTTTCAGAATGATAAAAAGAGTCAGTTGAGTTGAAAATGTTAGAAAACCTTAAATTTTCTCATGACTTAAAATGCCTTGGGTAAATTTCATGCAGTGCTTTTGTTATCATTATGTAATGCTTTTGTTATCATTATAAGTTTGTGTGAATTTTTAGAATTATTATTTTTACAGTTCTTGACTATGAAAAGGAAATAATATCAAAATCAGGAGAGATTTCTAATTTAAAAAATCTTTGGAAATTAAGCAGAAGATAAGAAAGAATATTTAAGGAAATCATTCAAGGTTATGTACAACACTATTCCATTGTCATAATGCTTAATTTTAACAAAGAATACTGAAGTTTGTGTCTTATATTTCTCCATTTCTGAGCAGAATCATAATTCCACTTGAAGGTGTCAAAGCCAGCTTAGTTCTGCTGTTCCTTTCGCAGTTGAAACAAGATTTTATTTAAAATGTCTGAAATTTTTTTATCTGTTATAAGGAAATGTATTAGTATTTTTTTGCTAATGTAGCCATTTAGAGCCAGAAGTAAATGTTTTTGTGAAATCTGATGAGAATTGGCAAACCTAATGATATTGTTAAATATCTAAAATTTTACCATTGTTAAATTGAAAATCTCGAGTTGTTACTTTTAAAACCTTACACCTGTAAACTATCTAGGTGCCGGACAAACTAACTAAAAAACTAACTAACCAACAAACTAACTAAAAAATCAAAATAATCAATTTCATGTATCATGAGAATTATCGGTAATATTCGGTTTTGAGGGCCGTAAAAAAATTGCAGCGAAAATGTATGCACAAAAGCGCCAAATCTAGCAAACGCGGCCATTTAACAGCGCGCCAAATCTAGTGTATGCATTGATTTCAGATTGCGTAAGTTTATATAGTTCTATATTTCTTAAGATGAAATTGACATACTAGTTTAATTTTTAAATCCTTTTTGATATCCTATGGATTTAACAATTTGAGGATTGCACATGACGAAACATCGGCAATAGAATTTTGGTGCAGAATAAAGTGCAGAATCACCCACTGCTTGATGCGTTTTTAAGAATTGCACATACTCGGTATCCATGTACACATCGACCTATTTTCACTTAAAAAACAATTGTAGAATTGCACAAAAATGGCACTGCGTACACCCTTGACTTTATCTATGTACACATCAACCTATTTTCACTTAAAAAGTAAAAGAAAATTGACAAAAATTCAATTGTTTTTACCCTTGTAAAAAGCGGCAAACAAATAAGTGATCTATTCTGCACTTTACCGAAAATATTTTCAAAGAAACATATCATTCATTATAGAAAATTACGTTTGAACAACCAACGAGATGAAATTATGCTCTAGCGATAAATCGGTAGCGAAACATCCATTCAGTTATATTTAGCAATTTTTATCTAAATTATAATAATGATTTGAAATAGTTATTTACTCTTATGCTTCCATTCAGTCATGTTTAGCCTTTTTCATATAAATTATAATAATGAAAATGTATTATATGAAATTAACCTTTCATCTAAATTAAAAATTAATCTTAGATAGTTATTTACTATTATACTTCCTTTCTTGCTGCAATTATTAGGGTTGCTGCAATTATTTTTGGAAGCATTGGCATCAACAATAGTTTGGCGATTTTTTACGGCCCTCGAAACCGAATTGTACCAAATTATCTTATCGTGATCTTATTAGTTTAATATTACATTGCGTATTGTGGTATTCGCACTCAGGAACTGCCACTGAAAATGCTTAGTTGATATTCAGGTTCCCTTTAATTGTCATAAAAATCCTAATTCATAGTAAAACAAAAATTTTCTAACCAATATAGCCTACCATTCAATTAACACAATTCACACAATAATTATTTAAACTGCATGCTTATTTATTAATTATATTCTGATCAAATTACATTACATATTATTTTTAGTTTAATCCTTCGGAGGTTTAAAAAAAAAAAAAAAAAAAAAAAAAAAAGAGCCAGAAGTAAATGTTTTTGTGAAATCTGATGAGAATTGGCAACCCTAATGATATTGTTAAATATCTAAAATTTTACCATTGTTAAATTGAAAATCTCGAGTTGTTACTTTTAAAACCTTACACCTGTAAACTATCTAGGTGCCGGACAAACTAACTAAAAAACTAACTAACTAACAAACTAACTAAAAAATCAAAATAATCAATTTCATGTATCATGAGAATTATCGGTAATATTCGGTTTTGAGGGCCGTAAAAAAATTGCAGCGAAAATGTATGCACAAAAGCGCCAAATCTAGCAAACGCGGCCATTTAACAGCGCGCCAAATCTAGCGTATGCATTGATTTCAGATTGCGTAAGTTTATATAGTTCTATATTTCTTAAGATGAAATTGACATACTAGTTTAATTTTTAAATCCTTTTTGATATCCTATGGATTTAACAATTTGAGGATTGCACATGACGAAACATCGGCAATAGAATTTTGGTGCAGAATAAAGTGCAGAATCACCCACTGCTTGATGCGTTTTTAAGAATTGCACATACTCGGTATCCATGTACACATCGACCTATTTTCACTTAAAAAACAATTGTAGAATTGCACAAAAATGGCACTGCGTACACCCTTGACTTTATTTATGTACACATCGACCTATTTTCACTTAAAAAGTAAAAGAAAATTGACAAAAATTCAATTGTTTTTACCCTTGTAAAAAGCGGCAAACAAATAAGTGATCTATTCTGCACTTTACCGAAAATATTTTCAAAGAAACATATCATTCATTATAGAAAATTACGTTTGAACAACCAACGAGATGAAATTATGCTTTAGCGATAAATCGGTAGCAAAACATCCATTCAGTTATATTTAGCAATTTTTATCTAAATTATAATAATGATTTGAAATAGTTATTTACTCTTATGCTTCCATTCAGTCATGTTTAGCCTTTTTCATATAAATTATAATAATGAAAAAGTATTATATGAAATTAACCTTTCATCTAAATTAAAAATTAATCTTAGATAGTTATTTACTATTATACTTCCTTTCTTGCCGCAATTATTAGGGTTGCTGCAATTATTTTTGGAAGTATTGGCATCAACAATAGTTTGGCGATTTTTTACGGCCCTCGAAACCGAATTGTACCAAATTATCTTATCGTGATCTTATTAGTTTAATAATTACATTGCGTATTGTGTATTCGCACCCAGGAACTGCCACTGAAAATGGCTTTGTTGATATTCAGGTTCCCTTTAATTGTCATAAAAAATCCTAATTCATAGTAGAAACAAAAATGTTGTAATCAATATAGCCTACCATTCAATTAACACAAATCACACAATAATTATTTAAACTGCATGCTTATTTATTAATTATATTCCGATCAAATGACATTACATATTATTTTTAGTTTAATCCTTCGGAGGTTAAAAAAAAAAAAAAAAAAAAAGAGAAAGATAAACACACAAATTTAAGGAAGGTAATTAAGATTTAATATTTTCTTCTTACCTAGATATTATTTAAAAATTTCGATATTCATTTCCTTGTTATTTCAGAAAATCTTACGAACATCATTTCTGACAGAGTCCTAAATTTATGGAACATAAAATTCTCAAAAAATAAGAGAAACAGGTTCCTGTAATCATTAGAATAAAGAATGAGCACAAATTCTTAAGGTGAGAGAAAAGAACTAAAAAAAACTTAGCTGAAAAAGTCCAGGAATGGGTCGCACACTCTTACATCACAAATCAGGTCATCCCTAATGGAAACACACTTTCGCCTTTTACCGAGCTCCTCTGAAGAACGGCAAGGGGTCAGTCAAAACTCTGGTAATTCACTGTCTGGTGTCATAAGTGAGTCAACCTGGAACATGTAGCTCTCATTGGCACCGCTTCTTCTGTCATCTCCTTGGCAGAAATTTTCAGAAAAATTCTCAGAGATCACTTGAAATGCACTATCGTGGCGGTTCAGTGGCTGAGGCTAAGTAATAATCCTTTTTTCATAAACAAAGCAAGGGAAACGCACATTCCTTAGAGTTCTGTAATAGGCTAGCAGATAATAAACAATGAAGACACCCACTAAGAATCTTCTCGAGCATTACCAAAATCCAGAGTAAGTACGGATTTAAGGAAAGTAAGTACGGATTATAAGAAAGGCAGATACAGTCTGCCTTTTCTCAGCAGCAAGTTCAAGATAGTTATTCTTCACCCAGAAGTCAAATTTGCAAGCAACAGAGACCTGATTCCAAGAGCAGTTTAGCAGAATCGAGAGAGAGAAGCAAAAGTAGCTGAACTCTCAAATTTCACTCTTAAAAATACTGACAAGCACTGTTTCCCAGACTTGGCAAAACTCGCCACACAAAAGTTTCCAAAGTTCCAATCCTTTTCTTCCAAAACCCGTCAAGACACTACTGAGCATGTTCTCTTCCATATAAACATTCTTGAATCGGTATGTTTTATCTAATGTGTATTTGTTCATGTATTTAAGTAAAAATATTAAAAGGTTTTTGAATTTTAGCCTTTTGAATGTTTGTTTTATTATTTATTTTTCTTGATACGGTTCATTTTATTAGTTTTATTTCAATATTTTTATCAAGTTAATTTAGCTTTCATAATGATGAACATTTTTAAGGGAGAAAAATAAATTTGTATTTGGCTTTTAATATTCCTGTTATAATGATTATATGAGATTGCTTGCAGTTATAATCAGTTTGTTAAAAAATACAGATTAAACTTTAAAAAATTATATTCAAGGTGATATTTTACATTATTATAACATAATTTGATCATTCAGCTTCTGTTGACACACTGATTTACGTGAATTGCATCCAAATGCATATAAATTATTTGATAATTTTAGACCACATCTGCTAGTATTAAAAGGATGTTTTCAAAATTTGGTCTGATTTGCAATAAACTGAAAAATAAAGTTCCTAGGTGAATTGAAAAAGCTGAGATAAATCATCGTAAATACCCGTAATAATTTATAAATATTATACATCTTTAAATGATTCCTCCCCCTCGAGTTTTGTTACATATTACTTTTAATCATTTTCAGTTTGAATGATCAAGGTAGGTTAAGTATCTGTTACTGTGCTTTCATAAAGTTCTGTGACGTTTCAATAATGTACCTGAAAAGTTCTTTGTTGATTAAATTCAGTTCAGACATAAAATTATATATATATATATATATATAAACTAAAACTGGTTTGATTTAAAGGAAAAATTTAAATAAAAATAATTTTTACTTAAAAAAAAAGGTGATTTTTTTTTACAGCCTGTATTGCATCATCTCCACGCATGCTTTGATACCTGCATCATACCACGCATGCATTTTCTTAGATAATTCCATGTAAGAATAATATTTCCCTTTCCTCCATTTTAGTTTCTGAAGACGAAGAATTTTATTTAAGAGTAATTATCTCGACCATAATATTTTACTCAAATATTATGGCAATGAATGCTAGAATATTGTAGAAATGAATGTTAAATATTTGGATACCTGATATGAAAAGCTTATAATATCATTTAAATTTTAAATTAATTGTTTTAAATTGATTTCTATGTAAAATTGACCTCTAAAATATTACTAGAATGTTATAATTTTCATGCATTGAAATATACTAAATAAAGTGTATCTTTATTTAATTTCCATTACAGAAGTTTGGGTTTCATTTACTGCCAATTTTTTTACAATGGGGAAATTCTATTTGAAATGTGTTATGAATAGAAAAAGGATTTTAAGAAGGAACATTTTAAGAAGGAACTTGCTATTCCCTGCATAAAGTGTATTTAATTTATTGTACCTGATATCTTGACATGTGCCCAACATTGTGTATGCTTGCTGTTATGGATCTGCCGTGCTTTTTGTTTATTGTAATATTTGCATCTTAGATGGCACTTAGGATTAAGCTATCTCTTTTAGAGAATTGACCCTTGAATTATTCACAGCAATGTTATAATTGTTTTAATGTGGAAGATTTTCTCAGCAAAGTCTTTTGATGAAGCTAATTTGCATTACCATCTTCACCATCTTCGTTTGTGTTACCATTCTTCACCATCTTTATGAAAACAGTGATATTTTTTAGATGCAGTCTTTTAAAATTCTTTCCTTAGTTATAGCAGTTAATTAGCATTTTGTGTTATAAATTTAAGTATTTAATGATTTTCTGTTGTTTTTAAGTTATAGCATGCCTTTAATTTTCTTTTAAGTAATATGTTTTGCCTTTAATTTTGCAATACAGTCAAAAGTCTTTAATCCAGACTCGTTGGGACTTATTCCGGATTATCGGTTTTTCCGGATTATAGATCATCAGTTTAAATCTGGTAAGATGGCATGCAGAAATTATAAAATTAAAAATATGAAACCGTAATTTATGAAATAAAGAGCAATTATGATCTAAAGGGTATCCAAATTTACAAAAAAAAAAAAAAAAAAAAAAAAAAAAAAAAGCTTAATATTTATTTGTTTACTTTATTAAACATTTCTTTCAATGCTCGCATGCGTAAAGCATACATTACACATAGTCGAAATTAGAAAATTGCGACCGGTAAACTATTTGATGTGTATTCATGATATTTATAATGACGAGGAATTTGATTTAAATCATATCAAAGACGGAGTACATCGAGATGAAATATTACATTTAGTAAGGAATTATAAGCCGAATAAAATAAAAACATATGCCCTGAAGTGATAAGGATAGTGCTGACAGATCAACTTCCAGATCATTGTTTTTTAAGTTTAAACAGGATGCTGTGTACATGGCATTCTTTGAAATTTATTGTTGTTATGTTAATTTATTGGAGCGAGGTGTGCATAGTTCGTAGACTTGTTCGTTGCGTAGATTGTGCAATTCATAGATGTTTAAGTTAAGACATATCGCTGTGTACATGGATCCTTGTCAAATATTTTTGGTTAGAAACTTTACGTTTTTGCTATCTAAATTTTTTGTTTTTGTTTCGGATTTTTAGCTTAAATTTTGTGTTTAAAACGGGGTTTTTGCATATGCCAAAACCGTGTTTTTGGAGACATTTTAGGCTTAAAGTTCGAAATGTAGACAAAAAATTTAGATAGTAATATGGCACCATAAAATTTCTCGCCAAAAGTATTTGTCGCCAAGCGAGGGCATATATAAGAGTAGTTTCCTAAGTTCAAATATGCTATTCTTCTTGTATTACATTGGTTTTGAGTGGAATTATTTATATTCCTTTTTATTGTAATTTTCAGACTGTTGTGTTGAATTGCTCTCACTCATTTTGTAAATATTGCATTACTGAATGGAAAAAAAAGAAAAAACAGTGCCCTATATGTCGAGAAAGAGTAACTACAGAAACAGACGTATTAGCTTTAGATCACTTTATTGAGAAAGTGACAGACCTGTTAAGCAAGGAAGAACTGGAAAGGAGAAAAGAATTAATTGAAAGCAGAGAGCAGGCCAAAGGTATTTATTATATACAATTTTAATCCTGATATTCATGTTTTTCTTGTAACTGTCCTGCACTAAAGTGTGATATTTTGTAAAGTGATACATTTATTTTTTGGCTTATGAATGTGGATTAAACTTTCAGTTGTGGGAGATATTCAATTAAGTTCTAAACTTTTAACTATGATATAATGCATGTGGGACATTGAAGTACATTGCAAAATTCAAAGGCAGCTGGTAATTATCAGTTAATTTTTGTGAGCTTCAAAATTTAAGTCGGTAATATCTTGGTATATCAAACCTCGAACATTACATGGTAATTGAGTTGTTGTTGAAAGGAGGTGTACTACTTGCTGATATTTGCAAATGTGTGGTTATAGCCTGTAGTGAAGACTGTACTTTCCTTTTTTCATTATTGAGAGGTTGGTTGCCATGTTTAGGCAAGTAAGGACTTTAGATAAAGAGCTGGATATATTGGAAAGTACGTGTTGGATGGGTTCTTGAATGCCAGCACCAGAAATGGAGGGAGGAGCACGATTTCTTTAAAAAACTACACGTTTGTGAAAATTGCAACACCATGAAGGACTTACGCGAGTGAGCTGAAATTTTCAGGAAATGCAAAGTAGCGCATGATATGCAAATGATTAGAATTGCAAATCCGTAGCGCATGCGTATGCTGAGCAGCGCCCTCTGAACGGCTGATGGATCCGAATAAATAGACGGCTGTAGCGTGTATGGTTATCGGTGGTTATCTGCTAGTGGTAAACGTTAACTCAATCTGTACTTATGCCTCGTCGACGAAAGAGAGCGAGATTTGAACAACTTACAGAGTTTGAACGAGGGAGAATCATCGGCCTTCGTGAAGCTGGATTGTCGTATCGTGCAGTAGCCTCTCGTGTGCAGCGTAACAGCAGCACAGTGATGCGCGTTTGGAAGCAGTGGACGGACGAGTGTCGGACAACTCGGAAATCCGGGAGTGGACCCCGAAATGTGACGTCAGCTCGCGATGATAGACACCTGGTCCGCATGGCGCGCGCGGACGGACCGTACAGCTTCCTCTAGACAATTGGCAGCACTGTGGTCAATAGCTACACAGGTGTTTCATTGTGTGCTTCATCAATTCGTAGACGTCTGCTGCAGTGTGGACTGCGCGCACGGACTCCTTTATACAGGATCCCCCTAACGCACGACCATCGCCGCCTGCGGCTACAATGGGCCAATCAGCATAGAGACTGGCGTGCTGATTGGCAGCATGTCGTGTTTTCTGACGAATCCCGCTTTAATTTGTGGTACCATGATGGCCGCATTCGTGTCAGACGCTATGCCGGTGAACGCCACCTTCCGGAGTGCATTATCGAACGCCACAGTGGACGAACAACCCGGAGTTATGGTCTGGGGCGCCATAGCATATCATAGACGATCTCAATTGCTACGAATTGTGGGCAATCTGAACAGCAACCGGTATATCCGTGAAGTTGTACAGCCCGAAGCTGTTCCCTTCCTTCAAAGCTTGCCAGGCGCTGTATTTCAACAGGACAATGCCCGCCCTCATACTGCTCTCGGATTGTTAAATCCTTCTTTGCAGCGCAGCAGGTACAGCTTCTTCCTTGGCCTGCGTGTTCCCCGGATATGTCGCCAATTGAACATGTGTGGGATGTCATTGGTCGGCGTCTTGCTCGTGATCCTCGTCCTGTTGCGTCTGCAGACGAACTTTGGGTACGCGTACAAACGATATGGAATGCTCTTCCTCAGTCAGACATTCAAACTTTGTTTGACTCCATGCCACGTCGTGTAGCAGCACTTATTGCGGCGCGTGGTGGCCACACAAAAAAAATACTGATTCTGATCTCTTGTTCTTGTTTGTTTGCTTTGAACATTTAATCATTTATTTGTACCACTACCACTCAACTGTGTATTAAATTGCATTCAATTATGACGATTCCTTCTTGGTGTTGCAATTTTCACAAACGTGAGTGTATTTCTTTGATGGGTAGTAATGAAGTCAATTTCTACAATTTCTATTCAAAAGTACTGCTAGTAGATGAGACCTGGATTTAACATTGTTACCAGGAAATAAAACAAAGGTATGTGTGGAAGCACAGTGGATCTGCATCCCCCCCCACAAGTCAGAAACGCATTAATCTGTTGGAAACATTTTGGCTATCATATTCTGCAATAAAAATGTACTGATTGTTTTCTTTTTGTTGTCAGATGGATTTGTTCCAATTAAGTCAGAGAACAAGTTCATGAATTTCATCTTGGCAAGCAGCATAAGAAGTTTGTTCTTGGCTTGGAATTTGGGTATCATGTAGGTGATGCTATGAATGCCCAGTTTTGATAGAGAGCATTCTAAGGGACATGTCCAAGGGTCTTCCACTTCTTTTTTCTTACCACCAAACCACTTGAGAGAACTTTTGGCTTGCCATGTATTTTGAGAATGCACATATGCTGCACACAAGCATTCTCTCTGGGTTTCGAACCCAGACCCAAAAAACGATACAGCAGCCAAGAGCATTAACTATACCAGTAGGAGTAGCTTGTTTACCATGTAAATTATGGTTGCAAGTTTTTATATTAAATGATGACCCAACTCTAAGCCTGGAGGGAGGGTATATGTGAAAGAGAAACTCAACTCGTTGGTAAAAAACCTTTTGTCATATACTTACACTTCCTATTGTATATTTTCCAAATTACTATTTACCAGTTTAGATTTCCTCACAGTCTACTCTTCGGCTTTTCTTGAACTTGCAGTATTCAGAAACCTAATTCCAAGTTTTTTTTTTAAATCTCAAAATTGAGTATCACTTGTTTGGTTTGGATTTCAGATTAAAATGATGATGGTCATATGAAAGATGCTATTTAGGAATGTTTTCAAATATATATATATGTAAGATAAAAAATATGTAAATTGGCTTAATAATTTAATTAAGCAGTAGCTGCTTAATTACTAATTTTTAATTTGAGTATTTCCTGTCTGTTCTAAAAATGATAATAAATTTTCTAGACTGCATCATTTTTAGATCAGTTCGTGTCCCACAGCTTGTATAATGCTAATTCTGAACTGAGCACAAGATTTCGGGAACTGAAACTTTCTCTCAATAAGTAACCTAAACCAAAACCTTCTCTTGGTGAGCCTCCATATCGGATAATTGCACACTTTTTGCTTCTGTCTCTGATACCTCTAGGATACTGCTTCTCTGTTCTTTTGTCTTTGCCGGTTATTGTCCATTGGCCTTTAGACCAATATAATATGTATAAAATATGTATAAAATTGTGGGGTGCATTGTGCACCCACAGTGATGATGTGAAATGAAAATGAGTATGTGTCTTCAGAATTAATTATCCAAGAATAAAATTATGTGTAGAATTTATGGCTGTGCTTGTTTTTGAGTGTCATATTTCTAACTATGCAGTAAAACCCCTTCAAGTTATTATAATGCAGAGAACCATTGCAGTCCATTGCAGCTCTCTCTCTAGGTTATCCCATCACATGTATATGTAGGTTTGAATTTGTTATCTGATTAAGTATTTAATACATTGAATGCATTGGAAATTATATTTATAAACCATTGGCATTTATGGGAATAACTAATAATTTTGTTTACTAAATGGTATATTGTTAATTTCGTGTAATCATTTGTTAATAAAAGCAACACTGAATTTGTGTAAAAAATTCACAATGTGAATTGCTTGAGAAATGAATGAAATTAATCTAGAAACAATGTGTATTAATTCTACCAGATTGAAATCTTTTAATTTCTCTTATTAAGAAGCTTCACTGGTAGGAAACTTTAAATTTAACAGATGTTCATGTCTTTGATGTAAATTTAAATTTAAGCAAGAAAATATGTAGCATCATTTTTTTGAGTATCAAAGGAGAGGGAGATTATTAAAGCCATTTTGACATATGCTGCATCATAATGAATTTTTTTATTCATATTTGTATGTCTGTATTTCTTTCAATCCAGAAGAGATGGAAGCTATAACTAAAGCTCAAATTTGTTAGTTAATGTACAGTCATGACAGTAGAAATCTGACAGCTCATATGTCAGTAGGAATAAATATGATAGTTTAGTGTCCCCATCATAGAAAAACTTATCAATTCATCAAAACAGCTTTAAAAAATTTAACATTTAAAATCAAAAGGTAAGTAATGAATCTCGGTCATGAAATCAAAATCGTTTGATATTTTTAACTAAGATTCAAGTTACATTCCCCAGAATCAGTTGGCAGATATTTTGTGAAAGGCATAATCAACATTTTTTCATAATTTTCTTAAAATTTGTGCCACTGTACATTATTTTGTTTGGTTTATCTCCTGCTCTTTATATATAATCTCCTTCTTTTCTTAATATTCTCATTCTTTTTATTTTATCTATTTTAATTTTTTTTTTAAAGTAAAACTTCTGCCAAAGATAATAAAAATATATTAAGATACGGCATCAAAAGAGTTAACGTCTGAATGTTAATTTTTTTATGAATTACTTTTTGTAGGCATATAAAAATTATAGTAATATAATCTGTTCATTTTTTAATAAAAAATTAATGTTTTATTAAGACTATAAAAATTACAAGAAGAACAATTTTAAACAGCGAATTATTTATTGCTTTTATCGTTTAAAATTCTGTACTGACACAGAATTATTTTTGCTATTGAAAGGTAAGTCTTAAGAGTTTTGCATTTTTTTTAAAGTTAATATTTTAACAGCTTTGAATATTTTATACCCAATGTTCTTATCTCAACCATCTTAGTAAATGTCACCAAATTTTCAGAATGTGCCAAGCACTGGCAACTATGCCCAAAACAGTTCAATTTTTACAAGAGATAATGTGATAATTTTCATATACTTCGATTTGTTGCGTTCCAATGTTTTTTTTTTTTTTTTTTTTTTTTAATAAATCATGATATTTTTTTATCTTAAATTCAGTTTTAAACCAAGCACTAGTGGGGTTTACATGCATTGGAAGAAACTGAGGTAAAACTTCTGCAAGGAATGTAATATTTTTTCTGCAAAATCAGTAAAGTTAAAAAAAAATAAATTATAATAGATATATTATTATATTATGTATTTAATTCGATCGTGTATTTAACATAATTAAACTTAGCATATGTATGTAATAAATAATATTCCTTTTTTCCTTTAGAAAATCACTATACTGCACCAAAGCAGTTGCACTAATACTTAAGTTTTGCACTTGGTTATTTTAATACTAAGACTGAATTTCAGGTCTTGCAATATAGGCTTGGTACTATTAGAATATAGGCTGTTTATGTTGGAGATTACCAAAAACATTTCCGATCTCTTTTATTAAATTTTTGTTTGAAAATATGTCTGCTTTAAAAAATATTTTAAGCAGTATGTGTGTTTAGTTTTTAAGCACCTGTTGTTTGTAGTTTCAGTTATTTATATGTTTCTTAGGAGCTATTAAATATTACTGATAACTGAAAATTTTCTTGTACATAGTTCAAACCACACCAATGACAACTAGAGCACGGAGACGAGGAAGAGGACGACAACAGTCTCGTCAGTTAGAACAGAGAATGCAGAACTCCATAGAATTTATGATGGAAGTGGATGGAATAATTGCAATGGCCACTGAGGATGGTGTAATTGCAGTGGGCAGTGAAGATGGTGTAATTACAATGGCCACCAGTCAAGAATCAGATAGTGATTCTTCTGTGGAAGGTTTATCATATTATCCTGGATATGGTCGCTGCTTTAATTGTGGTAATTGTTTAAAAAATATGCTTTAAAAATAATTTATAATAATTATGCATGTTTTTAGGCCTTTATATTATTACAAAATAGCAGATTGATTTTTCATATTAGAGTTGCCCTAATATTCCTAAAATTTTTTGAAAATGTCTACACCTTCTATCCTTTGAAGGACTGTACCTCTTTATTATTCTCACATTCTTATCTGTCTTCATTTCATTATTCTTTTATCAAATGTGTTCATTAAAAATGCCTAACACCACTTACTGCATAAAGTTATTTATGTTGAAGGTCACAGAGTTTTAAGAAATCAACTTTATCAATTCATGTTTTGAAACTTTTCTGCATCTATGTAATTGAAAACTGTTGTAATTTTATGGCTGTGTTGAGTAAAATTTAGACTTTTAGAGTAAATTTAGCATATAGCTGATAAAAAGCAACAAAATTTAAAAAAAAAAAAAAAAAAAAAAAATGGTTGGGAAAACAATTTCAGTCAATTATTTAATTACATTAAGTGACTTGCTAATTAGTAATCTACAGTAAATTCTATGTTTGTGCATGTGTGGACTTAATACCAGAACTACGAATAGAAGTTTGAAAATTGTACGCTACTATAAAAAAAGTATTTTATTACAAATAGATTTTACTTTGAATGCAGATGATAATGTACATATGAAAGAATTAAATTTTGCAGTTGACCAATTACAGGATATTAGAAACTATTTATGACATTCATGGTACAAGATAATACTCATTGCAAAATATCATTAGGAAATTCAGGCAAAATGATTAACTCATGCATTGTGCTGAGCATTTTTATAAAACTAAATGTAAAAGGAAGATATTAAATCTTTCATTTATCAATAGCATCAATTTATTTCAAATTAAAAACAATATTTCATAATAATATCCAAATGTTAATATTAGCCTCACTTGCATTAAACACTAATTACAATATTGATTCACTTGAATAGATAGTTAAAAAAGAAATAGCTCATTAATTTCTTGGCAGATGCCGATTATCTTTGCTGAGGAAAGAAATGGCCAAATTTGTTTTTAGCTTAAAACAAAAGATTTTGTTTACTTGATGATAAAATTTAGGTTATTGTTGTTATTGCTGTTCTTCAGTATTTTTCTAATGATGCAAGAGAGATTTCATGCATATACAATATTGATTCACTTGAATAGATAGTTAAAAAGGAAATTGCTCATTAATTTCTTGGCAGATGCCGATTATCTTTGCTGAGGAAAGAAATGGCCAAATTTGTTTTTAGCTAAAACAAAAGATTTTGTTTTATTGATGATAAAATTTAGGTTATTGTTGTTATTGCTGTTCTTCAGTATTTTTCTAATGATGCAACAGAGATCTCATGCATATAATTATGGCAGTCTATTTTGGATGTAGCTTGTTAAAAGCAGCAGTTTTTTTTTTTTTTTTTTTTTGCATGGTTATGCTTTTTGTGGAGTTACTAGGTTACATACATTTGATCTCGCTTCAGTTTCGGCAGCCATTAAAACATAAATCATTTGTATTAGACCAATGGAAAAGTGCAGAAAAGTATCATATTCCATTGAAAATTATGAATACAATTCTGTTGATTCACTAGATTGCAAAATTATGAAGATTTTAAAATGCAAAGAGTTGAAAAAAATTATCTGTTTTTTGAATGCAGAAAGGGAAGAATAATCTAATAAACTGATACATCAGTAAAATAAAAATGGGATGCACATAGCAGCTGGATTGGAAGAAAAGAATCAATACAAGGGGTCCCCCCTTCCCTTTTCCATTGTAGACAGGCATGATGTAGAGCCCTTAACAACAGCAAAAGAGTGTGCATAATTTTATACAAACAATTTTTAGAGACTTACAAAAATGAGGTGATTACTGTATTTAACCCTTGGGGGGGGGGCAAAACAAGAATTTTTTTCAATATATTGTTTTTAATTTGAAATAAATTGATGCTATTGATAAATGAAAGATTTAATATCTTCCTTTTACATTTAGTTTTATAAAAATGCTCAGCACAATGCATGAGTTAATCATTTTGCCTGAATTTCCTAATGATATTTTGCAATGAGTATTATCTTGTACCATGAATGTCATAAATAGTTTCTAATATCCTGTAATTGGTCAACTGCAAAATTTAATTCTTTCATATGTACATTATCATCTGCATTCAAAGTAAAATCTATTTGTAATAAAATACTTTTTTTATAGTAGCGTACAATTTTCAAACTTCTATTCGTAGTTCTAGTATTAATTTTATATTTTAATTTAATGTAATTGAAAATTACATTTTTCTATAATTTAGGAAGAAGAGGACATTGGTCTAATGGGTGCCCTCTCCGGTGACTAATTCTTCAAAGTGACTAATTTGCATTGACTAATTTAAATGATTATTCATTTTGATGAGATTGGAGGCTATGTATTTGTTTTTCATTATTTATGAGAAATGTCATCTTATTAATGTATGTGTAAAAAAGAATCTGAATAAATTTTTTAAATAAATATATTAAAAATATTTTTCAATTGTGAAAATAAATGTATAATAAAAATATTTTGCATTAACCCGTTAGCCGCCGGTGTTGCATTGACACAACGGTTAGAATAAATACATATATAAATATAACTACCTAAGATATTTTATACCAGCAGATGATTTTGTGTAGGGAATATTATGAAGATTATTTCTGTAAAGAATTATTTGCCATCAACAATCATTTTGTTTATAATAATTAATCTCATACTTAAAGCAAAATTTTCGACCATGTATTTTTGCTGAAAATATTTAATGAACAAATCGCCGTCTTTATGAGTGATCTATTTTTAGTCAAGGTCACCGTTTATCAGAACATTACATCAAATCTGATGTTTATATATTTGTGTTGGGAAAGGAAGGGAAAACAGGTGTTGCACTGACGCAACATCAGCAGGAAACGGGTAGTCAATCTGCTTTTTTTCACTCATTCCTTTCAATGATTCTGTTCTGGTTCATGCTTGGCTGCCTTTAAAAATGCCTAGAACGAGGTATCTTACATTACAAGAAGCCCTTCAAGGATTTTTTGATGAAGAAACAGTTGATGATAATGCTAATAATGACCAGAATGAAACTGATATTGTCGTTGTTCCTCCAGAAATTGCAGAGGCTAGTCAGGGTTCGTATAGTCCTTAAGAGTCCTTAAAAGTCCTTAATTTTGGCCAAAAGCGGCAGAAGTTCCTTAATTTTAATCATCTGAAATTTCTGTCTGTTTTTACGACTGCCATTTTGAGTGTGAATTAGCATTTTGCAGAAATATTTTTGGCGATTCACTGACAAGTATGGCTATTTTTTGAATGGGTTCATTAGTTATAATTTGTTCCTATTTGTAATGTAAATAATGGTGGGATACTCGAGTTTCTGAACAAGAAGTGAAACATAAGCATTTCAAAATTATTTCAATTTTTGTAATGAAGAGCTCTCAAAGAACTTTCCGCTTTGGGGGATGTGAATTCTTTTATTAAATGGTTCTAAATTTGGCAATTATCAACATTTTGGCGATTTTAAGATTGGTTTCTATAAAACATTTTTAATTCCAAGATCTGGGAATTTTTTGACAATTTTTTTAGAACATTCTAACATTGATAAATTTCATTAAAATAATGGTAATATATTGGAATTATATTTAAGAAATAACATTAGAATAAAGCATTTTTATTCTTCTTTGTCATATTATAAACTTCCATTTTGGCCACATATTGTACAATTTTTTTGAATCTGAAAAATAAGCAAGGAATAATGCTATAAAGCACAATTAATTTACAAAACAGTTTTTAGCAAAAGCAAAATAGCTATGTAATTAATTAAAAATGTCTTTTTAATTTTTTCATGGTAAGAATTTTTCCCATTTCTCAGAATTCTCAGAAAATGCATCAGTTTTCTCTATAAAATTAATTTCACACTTTTTTCCTCCTATTTTTTTAAAAAACATTTCTGTCTTTTTCCTGTTACAGAATTGGTAGGAGTAGTTTTTCTTTAGGATTTTAGATATTGAAGCTTGGAAAGTTTAGAAAGATTTTAAGGTAAATTTATAGACCTACGATTCTAAAAGATTCCAGAAAAATGTGATAAAATGAAGGTTTCTGGAGTGTGAGACAAGTGTGTTTCTGACCTCCACTTGCTCCCTGCATTAGTTGTGTCAGCTCTGATAATTGTAATTATTAGTCTTTCCATTACTGCTGCTGACATTTGAGTTTATTATGACAATAGAGTTACTGATTCAGATTAAATTGAAATTAAATTGTATAGTCTTTGACCACTAGTCCATATTTTAGTTTGAATTCGACTCTTCTTGTGTAATTATATCACCACAAACTGTAAATGATTTTGTTAACATAAGAACAGGCCTATATGTTCCAAGTTCTTTTTGAATAAGAAGCTTATTTAAACCTTTATTTAAATTTATTATCTGATTTATAGTTACTTTCAGATCATAGTGATAATTTGTTTCACATCTGTCGGGAGGGGGGGGGGGGGTGTTGGACTATTTAACTTTTACCAGATCAAGTAGCCCTCATAGGTAGTACATTGTGGAGAGGTTGGCAGTTGGGAGATAAAACACGCAGAAACTAACGAGAACATTATTTTGCATATTGAGACAAATTTCTAATTGTTAAAAAACATTTTAAGGAGAAGGAAATCAATATGAATTAGCCAAAATATTTGGGCAGGCCTTCAAATTAAAAAGACGCATAATTATTTTGTTGAATTTTATGTTTTGTAGCTTTTAATGTGTAATTATACTAATATTGTTTAAAAATCAATGTTATAAATTGCATGTATTTTAAACTGTGAAGTTTTATGAGATTGTGATATTAATAGGGTTTTTTTTAACAATTATTAAAAAATAAATTTAATTTAATAGTGGCTATGTAAATCTATAATGACTAAGGTTATCTAATACATAATTTAATTATAACTAAATGCATTCTCTTAAAAGTTATCTCTATATTAAAGCAAGTTATTGCCTTTTGTTAACACGCTGAGCCCGGCGTCGGTCCCTGGGAACCGGCACTGGAATTTTCGTTTGGCTGGCGTCTGTCCGCGGGACCGACAGTATTAAAGTTAAAAAATAAGTATAGTCTCAATGAAATGTGATGAAATGTAGTTTTAATTCAATTTATTGAAACATTCTAAACAAAAATACAGCTTAGCTTTACACATATATGAAACAACTATTTGGTACCATTTTTGGCTATCTTGCATCCAAATAGTTTTGAATTGTCATCATAACATTTAAAACAATACTTTTGGACTTTATGTGCGTCTCCTTCCTTTTTGTATAATTTATGAATAATTTAAGTCGGCAATATTGCACCGCTTGATCGCAATATTGCCACCGGCTGAACAGAAAGGACGACAAATTTGGTGCCGGGCTCAACGTGTTAAACCTTTACTGTGGTCACAAGGTAAAACACAAAAATATAAAAATTCATGTGAAACTTATTCTTTGCATCTAGTGAGACTTAATGCGAAACAACTTATCACCGCTAATGCTTTAGTGGCTTAATAGAACCTTAAAGTGTATTAACTGAGTTACAACCCCTGGAACTCTACATGAAGCTATGACACTAATAGCGTCAGACAGTGGTCAGCTAACTTTCAAAACTTTCTAACTGTGCCTACATCAGGGCTTTCAGGTTTATTCTGATAAGCAGGTCTCTCTATAGGCGAGCAGGAGCGGTGACAACAGCCAGTCTTTTGTTATGAATCATGCTGATTATGATTTTAATGCTCATTTTAACCTATGCTGCTTGACATAAAATGTACTTAGTATTTACTAAACCTCTAGACTGAGCAAGCATGTGACAAAATGAGACATTAAAAAAAAAAAAAAAAAGCTGTTAGTAAAATGTAACTAAAATGTCACTTATCATCTTTCCGATATGTCCAGTTATTATGAGTGTAAAATATTTAATGCTACTTGATAAATTTCGTAAAATTAATTTTATTCTCAAAATATTAATAATTATGTTAATGAAGTAATGTTTAATAATAATGCAAGCTATTCACATTCAGGCATAGATATAATATTTTTAATTGAATTTATTCAGTTCCCATTTGCTCATAGGTCCTTAATTTTTTTCATTAATGGTCCTTAAAAGTCTTTAAATGTACTTAATTTCCTTGTGCAGAAAAGTGTACAAACCGTGCTAGTGACGAAGAAGAAAGGAATGACAATGTTTTAAATAATGATAATGGTATTTTACCAAATGATACTGCTAGGGAAGTTGAAATTCACGCAAGAAGTAAGTTTCAGCCTTCTAAAAGCAGTTATAGTCATACTAAAAAGTTTAAAAAGCAGAAGACTGAAATCTTGAAGTGTATAAAAAAGGAACTGTTAGTTATGTCTCAGGAAGAACATGAAGAAAAAGATAGAAGAGAAATTATAAAAGACAAAACACAAGGTAAAACTAGTGCACAGATTTTCGATTTTCTTTTTGGTTTAGGCATTTACTCTCTTCTCGTTGAACAGACAAATATAAATGATCAGGATTTAAAAAAAAAAAAAAAAAAAAAAAAAAAAAAATATTTATTGCATCTGAAGCCAATATGAGAAGATTTATTCGAATATTATTGCTTACAGGATATCATTCTTTACCTCAAGAAAAAATGTATTGGTCTTTTGATAAGGACATTTCTGTTCCTGTTGTGCGAGAATTGATATCACGTTTGCAGTATAGGAATATGAAGCAGAATTTGCATTTGACAATAGTCAAATTGACAATACTGATAAATTATATGAGGTGAGACCGTATCTAAACTTACTAAATATCACCACTTTTTACTACTGGAAATATAAAGTCTCCTTTAGATTTCAGACGCGAGAATGCATTATTTCTTTTGCAAACTCCTATTAAATAGAACCTTAAAGTTATATTGGTCTTTTGATAAGGACATTTCTGTTCCTGTTGTGCGAGAATTGATATCACGTTTGCAGTACAGGAATATGAAGCAGAATTTGCATTTGACAATAGTCAAATTGACAATACTGATAAATTATATGAGGTGAGACCGTATCTAAACTTACTAAATATCACCACTTTTTACTACTGGAAATATAAAGTCTCCTTTAGATTTCAGACGCGAGAATGCATTATTTCTTTTGCAAACTCCTATTCAGAGTGTAGAATAGCCAGAAATAGATCAGCAACAGGAAGACCTAGTAAATTCAGCATTCAAAAACCACTGCATGGAAATGGTAGACATTTTATCGTAAAGTCCGTTGATAACAAAAGACTTTGTTGTAAAGAGTACCATAGCCAGACTGTTTATAGATGCAAAGTATGTAATGTAGTTTTACATCATGACTGTAATCAAGTTTTCCATGCTTGAATCTTTCAAATGAAATAATCTGTATTTGTCAAAGAAATACAATGTATATTTTAATATTAAATTAATTACAAATAAAATTATTTGCTCACTAAACATCCGTAGTCTTATTCCGCTGATGTTGCGTGAACGCAACACTTGCTTTTTCCACAG